GATAAAGGCAAAGTGATTGCTAGTCACTTCAATCTGAATGTCATTCTGTTTCAAGCATTAGAGGGAGTTAAAACAAACCTTGCAAGAGGTGATTCCCAAGTGGAAGGAAGCTACCTCTGTTTTCATTCCTTTATTCTAAATGTTCAAGATCTTCAATTCTCTGAAACTACCTCTCTCTGTCAGACCAAACACGGTATTGTTAGCAGCACTGTGCTGATGCTTTTATTTTAATCAAACAGTAGAACAGTGTCTTTTATCTTCTGATTTGCATCAGTAGTGGAATTATTTGCTGCAGGCAAGAGATGAAGATCTGCTTCTGTCTCAGAATTATACTTGAGGGTATCTTAAGGCCAACATTCACAATTCTTGTTAGTCAGGCAGCACCTATAGTCAAAGTAAAAATAAGACACTATACTAAGGACTGCAGATATGAATTATTTGGCATAAATGGAGAAAACCTATTAGAAGAGAATCTAGACAAAATTTATATCCAGTGGCCAGACTGACTTTCTGTATCAGCTACTATAGAAAACTGATCACATGAACTTTGCATGCATGGCAAGGGACTGGATGGGTATAGACCCCACCCACACCCCCAAATACACATGTTGAAACTTTAATTGAAACATCTTAGTATTGGGAGGTAAAGCCAGCGTGTGGTAACTGGATCATGAAGGTAAAATCCTCATGAATGGGATTTGTGCATTTATTAAGAGGCTATTGAGGTAAGCTATGCCTCTTTTCACAATGGAAAAGCTGCATCTACAGCCTGGACAGGGGGTTTTCATCAGAACCTAAGTATGTAGGCATGCTGATTTCTAACTGCTAGGCTACAGAACTATGAGAAATAACCTTCTGCAGTTTATAGCCCGTCTGGTATATGGCACTTTGTTAGAGGGCTTCAGCTGATGGAGACAAGGCAGCCATTACAAACAGCAACAGGCGACCTGGATTCTCAAAGCCCAGAGCCCCAGCTCCTTTAAGTTTTGGTATATATTCCAACTTCTTAATTAGGCCCAACAGTGACCAATTAAAATTACAATAATTTCTCTTCCTCACACTCTCAATTATCTTAGTCTGCCAACTTTCCATATTCAGAAATTTTAGCCCCTGTAATATACCACATTATTTACATTAAATTTATCTATTATCTGTCCCTCTTTACCTTCTTCCCACCAGTACACACAAAGTCTTAAGAGTCCCCAGCACATAGTGATAAGTAAAAAGACAACATATATTAGTTGACAAAAATCAATGACTCTGGGATTAGACATCATGACTGTGGGAAAGTGATCACCCTCCCCTAGCCCTGAGTTTCCTTACTGGCAAACAGGGCACATGTGAGTCTCTGTCCCATAGGATCATCTTGTGGCTAAAGTGAGACAGTGCATGCCAAGTGCTTAGAATAAGGAATGGACACAGTAGATTTTTCAATGTGTTAATTTCCATAATTATTATTTCAAGATTTGTTTCTGAGGTGGTGATGGATTTGTGATGATTTACCCTCTCAAGCAACTGGTTCTTCTCATCTGACAGCACAGATCTGAGATGGTGAAAAGGCCTCATAGAGCAGAAAGCTACCAGGGGTCAACCCTTGTGGTTGGGGCCTCTCCAACTCCAACTCAACAATACCAGGGGCTTTGCAAAGGAGCTGTTAACAGTGTGAGTGCCACTGCCTCTGACCTGCAGAAGTAGAATAAACATAACACTGAAACCATGGAGTAAGTGATGTGTGGCTCAGAAACCTTAAAAGGCAGAGAAAGCAGCTCCCTCTTCCTACTTGAACTGAGAATTGTTTATTTGGCTTAACTGGAGTCAAAGCTAATGGTTCTAATGACTTCAAATCCCCCAACTCATTCTTCAGATTTTATACAAGGGCTGTAACTTATACTTTCTGAAAGCAGATAAAGAAGAAAAAAAAATGGTCTTTCATAAAAGAATTTACCAGAACATACTAATCATTTAGACATTCGCTTATGTTTCTAGAAAGCTAAAGATCAAGAATGGTTAAGTTTTTTCCCTGGAGCAAAATCTAAGGTCAGCCTGAAGGCAAACTATTAATCCGAATATTCACTAAGAGTTTGGGGAAACAAAACACTTCGAAATAACACATTATACATTTACACATACCTTTGATTTCAAAAAAAGATTTAGGAGCCAGAACTAGGAGGGAAAGTGGGAAAGCACGAGCAAGATGGAAGTAAGAAAGAAGGCCAGCGAAAGTGGAGGGCTACTTACTGACGTCTTGGCTGTAATGGTCTTTACTTGCCCATTAATTACAGCAAGTCTTCTCAAGGCTAATTTTCTCCAAGTGGTCCATTAAAAAACATTAAGAGAGCAAAATATAATAAATGACTGCACATTCAGGGAAGAGATAATGACAAATCATGTCACTGAAGAATTTCTAACTTCACTTTGGAAAACAAAGACCTCACGAGGTGAAGCTGGAATTAAGTTCCAGATTCCCCAATGAATGCTCTATTCTACACAAGAACCTCTCAAAACTTCAACCTGCGCACAGTATGTAATGAGCGTATAGTTCCATAAGGAATCTCAGATTCTAATTTCTAACCATCTCTGAACCCACTGGCCTTTGGATAACACCAAGTTGGATGCTGCTGCCCCTACTATACCTGCTGAGGTAAGCCTTACGATGTATTTTCCAAGATAAAGTGAGATTATCCATAAAACACTGACAGTTAAAAATCCTAAACATTTGACAATATTTGCAGGATTCAAAGGCTGTGCGTGTGGTGTCAGCTGGGATGAATTAGAGGAATTCTGAAGCATACACAAACACCAGTGTATACAGGTGAGCAACCCCACTGCAGTTGGTAAAGTCTCCTTCATGTTTTAAATATATCATGCCTAGAAAACTGTCGTAATTATCAGTCTCTTTCGATAATAGATATTATTGCTGAGGAAAGCTTTCACTTTCTTTGGAATTTGATGTTCTAGAAAAGAAAGCACAGGAACATCAAATTCTAATAGGCATCTCTGCATAGATTTTTGTCATGCAGTAGTATAATAATATTTACTATATCCAATTATATATAACCCTATTTAGGACTGCTACCAAGAGGAAGGGAAAGGAAGAGGGGGATCTGAGATCATGTTACCTCTGTTTCTCTACTTTCTTTCTAGTCAATCACCGAGGAATCTTGACTCATCTGAAAAGACTTGATGAAAACTAAACACAGTGCAGCTCTCCAGCCAAAACTCACAAAACTTCCTATTGGTCCCCTCAGATCAGCTGAGCATAAGAGATTTCTCCTATAAAAAGTCATAGTGTATCTAAATCTGATCCCAGTAAAATTTGACTTGTGCCGGAGTGAAAATGCAGAGGTAGCATTCGGGTAACAGCTGGAGAACATTAGTTCCCTGTCTCTCCTTTTCTCTCCCAAGGGTTGAAAATTCTGCTGTTCAGACAGGAAGTCGTCATATACCACACACTGCATGATACAGTACTCTGGGATGTAAGAACAAGTTACAGAGGATTAGAAGGACCGTGCAACGGTTTTCTTGGAGAACAACAGCAATGACTCCAGTACTTCTTGGGCCACTGCCCCCCAGCCCCAAGAGCAATCAGACAGCACCCTGCATCACCGATGGGACTGACAGCTACATGGACAGTTATAGAATGCCTTTTGATGACTCAGAGTTAAGAGGCTTCGTTGTTCGTTTCTCCACACATTTTAAAAACATTAACTTGAATACCTTTTGGAGAGTGAGTGGCCAAGATTCTTCAATAATCTTTTTTGGCACACGTTCACACTTGCTGTCTAAAAAGACTAACTTTTTAAAAAGTGATAATTTTTTTTAAAAAATCTCAGGACTTGTGTGTGTGTGTGTGTGTGTGTGTGTGTGTGTGTGTGTGTGTGTGTGTGTTTGGAATTCAGAACATGATCTGGAAAAGAATGGCTTAAACAAAAGATTCATGGACCTTTCTTAGGGTTTGCTTTTACTCTAACTTTACAAAGTTGCTGAGAAATAAACACAGACATAAACATGAGGAGAGACCCTCAGATTTTGTGGTCGGCTCCAGATTTTGAACAAGATGCTAAGTTTCCTTAGCACCATACACTGAAGAGCTATTCTGCATTCCTACCAGTCTGCAAGGGCTGGCCCTCTCCTTTGTAACCGCCTGTCCTCTGGGGGCAGGCTGTAAAGCCAACCAACTCTTCTCTCCCCTCCAGCCACGTTCACTAGACACAAACTTTAACTTTTGAGCTGTAGAAAACGCCTTTGCCTTATGCATATCAGGGACGTGCTGTTAATCACAGGAGTTAAAACACTATCGGTATTATGCAAAGAGGCGCGGGGGAGGGGCAGCGGGGGAGGACTGAGAGGCTCACCCACACATCCATCATCCCTTTAGGAGTAGGCGGAGTTTAAAGTTTCCCCAACTTCCAAGATCTCACTTGACAGGCAATATTTCTGTGTAATTTCCAGTCCGGGTAACATATGGTCCTCTGCCCGTCTTGAGCCTCGAGGGATCCCAGACAAAGCTCCCAGCCACCCCACGCCTCGCGGGACCCATAGGTAGTTAGTTTCACGGAGCTGTCAGACCCGTGCAGTTAGCAAAGAACGGAAGCTTAACTTCTTTCAGAAGTTTTTCCTGGTGCAAAGAAGTCCAGAGGACTGAAGCACAAAGGCCTGAGAAAGTTTCATTGCTTTAATTCTCAAAAAACGACTCCAGCCGTCTGCCAAACCATCACCTACACCCAGGTGCGCAGGAAAAGAACGTGGAGGCACGCGCGTTCAGAAACAGCAGAAATGCAACTTGAGCAAAGACGACCTGGGAAATTGCTCAAGAGACCCCCAGGGTGGAAAGGCACCCCGGAGCAGCCAGACCCACTCTGTGATCACTCAGCGCCACAGGGAAAGATGACCTCCCCCAACCTTGCCAAAGGAGGGAGGGTGCGTCTCTACTGCGAGAGAGAGGGCTAGAGGAAGGGAGGGGGCGCGATCCGGGACTCGGGGACGTTCAGCCCACTCACCCTCACTGCCGTACTGTTTGCCATTGTTCGCGCCCATCCTGTCGCCGTCATGCCCGCCGTCTCCCTGGACACTGCATAGCTGGGGCGCACCTCGCAGGCGTTGGGCCAGAGGAAAGCAGGCTGGACCAGACCGTTAGCTGCACATGCCCCTTTGGCTAGCCGATCTTGGCCGGGGGCTGCTCTGCAATCTCGCGGGACGGGGTGGAGGTCCCTTCTTGGCACCCTCGGGGGTGGGGGGCTGGGTCCAGGACAGCAGTCTGGGCTCTCAGAATCTGCGCTCCGGTCCGGAGTCTGCAACCCCTCCCCGAGCCCGCGCCCCGGGGCCGCCCAGAGGCTCCGCGCGCCGCCGCAGCAGGGTCCCCATCCGCGCCGCGGTCCCCTGCGATGCGCGTCCAGTCCCGCGGGTCCGGGCTCCCCTGCTCCGCCGCCTACTCCAGGTGCCCGCGGCTTCCCCGGGAGGGCGCGGCGGCCACTTGTTGCGGGTGCCCCTGAGAGCGGAGACTTGTGGCCCAGCGCTGCTCGCCCGCGGGCCGGACTTTTGTTAGCGCCAGGCGCCTCCTCTCGCCGCCCAGCGTCAATCACAGCTGGAGCCCCGGGGAGGAAGGCCGGCTTGGAGATGCGCGGCCTTTTAAAGGGGCAGCGCGCCTTTTTGGGGCTCCATCTCGGTGCCCCCGCCTGGATTCCGGTTCTGTGCGCCACCCGCAAACCGTTTGGATCGAAGAAATGTGCAACAAGCTGCGTTTTACTATTGTTCTTTTATAAGATTGGCCCGCAGTTTGTAAGAGGAGCCTGCAGTCCTTTGAATTCCACTGGGACGGTCTGTAAATAGGGCCCTGTTTGTGTTGTGGAGGCATTTAAAATAAACACGCGCCAGAGTCCGATTCCGACCTGTTTCAGGTACCCGCGCTGGAAGTCTCAGCGGTTCCTGGGTTTGGGGGCTAAAGCGAGGAATGAAGGAGGGGCAGAAAAAACTTGAGGCGAACTTAGCAGGGAGTGGTCTCCGGAGAGCCAAAGACTTTCCCCGCCCGGTGAAGGAGGCTTCCTGGCTCAGAACTTTTAAAAGCTTCTGAGCCAGGAAGTGTATTTTCTCCTCGGTTCTTTCAGGGGTTTTTTTGTTTTGTTTTTTGTTTTTTGTTTTTTGTTTTTTTGTTTTTTTTTCTTGTGGTTGTTATCATCCTTTGTTTTGTACCTAACAGCCTCCAGTGGAGATTTGCATGGCGATTGTAAAGCTTTAAAATGCCCCTTTGGCATTCTCTCCATTAAACAGAAAAAGGAAATTCTTAAGTGTTCTAACTCCCTTACAAAGTCTCAGTGAAGAACCAAGCATCCACCACAGGGATTTTTTGGTAGAGAAACAAACACATAGCAGTTGCTCCTTATAGATGTTAGATCCTGTAAAGTAAATGAAAATATAGTGACTCGTTTATCTTTATACACGTATGATAGTTGAATAGAGAACTAAGGGTTCTGTAATTAAGTATTTTTTATAAAGGTTTGTGACCAGATGCAGAAACTGTTAGTGAGTTCAGGTCTTGTAAATTCTCTTTGATTGGTTTCCTACAATTTTCTTTCTTAAAGATAAAACATGTTTCAAAATTTAAAATCCACATTTAGTGTTGCAAATGTCATACTCTGAAATAAATAATATGTAAATAATAAACGTGTCCATTTTTAAAGAGCGAATGAAACTGTTTTGTATTGTGTTGATACCATTTTCTTCTCCCAGTTCAAAGACATGAAAGGAGACATTCTAATGCTTGCTTTAATGTCTACTATCTAGCACACCACCTAGCCAAGAATATGTAATTCCCAAACATCCCTTCGGTTACATTAAGAACCTGTATCATGGGCCCTCCATAGGATTCGTCAAGAAAGTATAAAACCAACCTCGAAGGGAGTTGAAATCAGGATGGTCTTCATGCAGTAGATTTCTGCCTGGTGCTAACCTCGAACTTCTCATCCTGCTTTCACCTCCCACATCCATGCCTGTTTTTATGAAGTGTTGAGGAGCAAATAAACCCAAGGCTTCATGAAAGCTAGGCAGATACTCTACCAACAGATCTACATCCCCAGCCCTTGAGCAGGTGATGGCCAATCTCCATTTAGGAAACTGAATGAATCTCATCGTTTTAGCAACTTAGCTGAAGACAAACCACCAGTAATTCAATAGAGCAAGTGAAATTCATCTTGTTTCTATGGAACTTGCAACTTGTTCTGCCTTTACTGTCTTCTCCCAGTTACTGTCTGTCCCTCTTTATAGTGTATAAAAAAGGAAAATGAGACACAAAACTGAGGCTCAAAAAGTTTAGTTACCTCGAATCTCCAAGAGGTAAGTGCCAGTGGTCTGTCAACTCCACTGGGTCTCTTGAATTGTCCATTATTCAACTTGGAGTCACTGCCTTTTTGATCAAGCCATCTTTCAAGGTCTTTAGTACACAAGTAAATATAACAGTATAAAGCAAATGGCAGTGAGTGACCAACCACATTTAGCTTCTTTCAAATTAAAGTCTATAGGTATTGTCAAGGTTTTACTGCCTGCCATAACAGAGCATAGGGTTAACCCCAATGATGAGATTCCAATATGAAATATGGACACCAACATTATTTCAACAATAGAAAAACATGTTTAACCTTATTCAGAAAAGTAGAAGTTGATATAAATACAGCCTACTGACTGTGACAGCTTGAAAAGAGTTCAGCAAAAAAGAAAAATATTATTCTTGAAAGCCAGAAAGGTATATGTACATGTGTATAACTTTCAAAATTAAGATATTGAGGAAATATAGTATTATAATTCAAAATTCCAACTTTTTTGCAGTTCCCAAACTGCAAATTTTCATTACCATTTGCAAGTCTCTTGAGACAAGGGTGATGTGTGTTTCATCAGCATTCTGCATCATCCAGCCCAGCCCCTAATGCAAAGTAATCACTCAGCCAACGCTTGCAAAACAAATGAATACAGAACAAAGAGGTAACAGTGACCTGATTGTTCGTCTACCTCTCTGCCCATGACCTTTTAAAGGGTCCACAATCATTGAAAAAGAATGTCAAATGAACATTCTGTGCCACTTTAAAATGGAGTGAGATAGCCTACTCCACAAGATGGAATTCATACCTAGTATTGTTAACTCAGCCCAAAACCCATGCCTGACTAGGTTGTAGACCTTAGGGGAAAATATAACACTATTATTTTGCTAAATGGAAATAGTACTAAGCTGTCCCCTACGTGCTTATTGGTATGCACATAGCTTAGTACATCTCTCATCCCTCATCAGAGAAATTTCTTTTTAAAGTAATAATGATTAATTAGTATAGAGAGACACAGCTAGTCACTGTTCAGAGAAGAAGAAACTATGGAGTGCTCAGCTCCAAATGAGACAACAAGATCACAGTCATGGCTCAGGGATCATGGTGGAAGAGAGGGTGGAAAGATTGTAAAAACCAGAAGCAGTGGACACCTGCAGCAAACGGCGTTTGCTGACCACGACAAGGCCTTGCACACATAAATTCACAGCAGTTCTGACCATATGTACAAGACCAAGCCAGCCAAAATCCTGCCGTGGACAAAGGAGTGGCTCCCCACCCGCCCCGCCCCCATACCAGCTGAGAAGCTATTGGCAATTGACGACTCCTGGGGGAAAGAGTCAGTGTTCTTTAGGGATGCGACCCCTGAGAGGCTGCCCATGCTCCAGTAGATGGTCCTAAACCCATGAGCGTACAGGGAGCACTAAGTAGACTCAATGGGCTTGAGAGAGAGAGAGAGAGAGAGAGAGAGAGCCCATGAAGTTGAGAGAGAAAGTTCCTGGGGGGGTGGGGAGAAGTGGGAGGTGAGAGAACTGGATGGACTTGATCAAAACACATTTTTTGCATGTATGAAATAATAAAATTTTATGGATTAAGAAATGTAGAATTAAAGGATGCCTTATTCAAAATAATTGAGACCAGAGTTTTAGATTTTAGGATATTCTTATAGACATTATTGTTTGCCCACATGGTTACAATTTTGGAATTTTGAGCATTTTGGATTCCAGTTTGGGACTGACGTGGGATGCTCGACTTGTACTAGTACCTTCTGCTTTCCTTCATCAAATCCTCCCTTCCAAATACTGTTTCTTCTAACTTCCAATTGTAGGCTTCCAGTGAAAGCTTGCACATCATGATGGATGTGGTAAATTGTCTGGACATGTGAAAGCCAATCCTTTTGCTAGCCTAATCAAACACCTACCTCTAACCGCCAGTAAGGACCAAAACAAAAGCTTGTCCACCTCCCTGCTGGAGTGGCACCAGATGAGCCATGGGAAGTCATGGATCTCCATAACTTGGGCCCCAGAGGCACAGCCATGGCAGTGTCAATGGAGACGGTGTGAAGAGCCCTTGGTGGATGTCCATCAGCAAGCAGGAACCTCTCACTTTGGGTGACAACAGAGGTTCAGTGGAAAGCATGAGATTCCACCTCCTCCTGGCAATTAGAAGTTGTCTTCCTCCTTCCTCTGTCAGAGAAGTCTCAGAAAGAGACATTTAGAAGCATTAAATAAGATAAATCTCTTAACAAAATATGAGTATGTTTAAATTTCTATTTCAAATTACTCACCATGGGGGGTTGGAGAGATGGCTCAGTAGTTAAGAGCACTGGCTGCTCTTGCAGAAGACTGGGACTCAGTTCCCAGCACCCACATGGTGACTAACAACTGTCTCATAACTCCAGTTCCAGGGTAATCTGCTGCCCTCTTCTGACATCTACTGGTACTGCATGACACCAGTGTACTTACACACATGTAGGCAATATACTCATACACATAAAATAAAAACAATAAAGAAAATACTTCTTAAAATAAATTAAAATTTCTCATGATAACAAAACAAAAGTCAGGAATCAAAATATAATTTATAAAGTAATTGATAGCAGCCAACACCAAAGTGACAAAATGCTATAACTATCTGGCAAAGATTTTAAAGGACTCGTGAAAGCTAATTCAATTACTATAGAACCTGAAGTTACACAGAAGAACCAGTAGGATTTTATAACTGAAAGCAAGACTTGAAATAGCACTGACATTCAAAATGGAGAACACAGAAGAGAAAATCAATACATTGCAGGACATTATCTGATTTACATCAGGGTCC